CTCATAATTCAATTGTTATGCTCCTGAAGAATTATAGCATATGTAATGCCTGAAGCATATAGTATTCACTTAGAATTGAATTATTATACTTCGATGCCCAACTTATATAATTGAAAATTAGCATGAGCAGTTGAATCATATTGGGTAATTATTTATCATAACTTTCCTCAATTGGTGCGTGGAAAATAGATCATTTCCCATCTGTGATTTATTATTTTACTATGCACAATCTTATATCACCACCAATTCGTACCTTTGTGGGCCTATATTACAAACTATGTATACTATGATTTTATACTTCTTCGATTTTTATTACCTAGAGGCCATTATAATGGGTCAATTTATTATTTGGTACATATTTTGTATAATATATGAAGTTAATTTCACAGCATTAGGGGGAGATATGAGCATAAAATTATTAATGCCGTGAAATATGAGAAATATCAATGTTTTCATTATATGAGACCATGCAATAGAAATTGAACTTGAAGTTCATATTATATTTTTGCCAAAAGAAATTTATAGTAATAATGGAGTGAGCAATTTGTATATATATAAATGTACCACAAAGTAAGTAAAATCTCTAGAGAATGATTGAATCCTTAATGCTAGAAGCATAAAGTGATATAATTAATATATGATAAATGAAAGTCCACGGAAAATGTATATTCAAGAATTAACACTCGTTTATAAGAAACTTCTGAAGAGTTGATTCAGTATATATTGCACGTGCATCAAATCAGTATAGTACTGGAAATGCGGAATGGCCAAAATTATATATTACGGGAAATAATTATAAATATGGCTAGTAAATATGAAGTTGCACAAATGGTTGAGAGAATATAAATTGAACATCATAGTTGTCGACAACATAATTGCCTATGTGATATCTTTACTATCTCGAATAATGATTCGGATCAAAATAATGAAAGTGCTAGAAGCGCTTAGGTTGATTGAGATAGAAAGAAAAAAGGCAGAACTTCCACTCGCTACATGATATATCCCAGAAGGATAGCATATCCCAGAAGGATAATGAATATTTATATGAAACATGTGATATGGTGGCGTAATGTAAATATAGCGAGATTATGATTATGGGTAT